AACCAGCGGAGGGTCGTTTGGGGATATGGTGTCACGTAGTGCACCAGGTCTCTGTATTAGGCCCTTCACAAAGTTTGGTTGGTTCTGCACAATGCCTTCACCACTATAATCAAATGTGATGGTGTCTGGGTTTTCGGTTCCTAAGAACTGCGCTGCTTGAACCTCATACACAAAATACGACAGGAGAGTCCAATATATATATATATATATATATATATATATATATATATATATATATATATATATATATATATCCAAGTATATGATTAGTGTATACGGAATAAATTCCAATAACCAACAATTACTATTCTTAAAAGAGTGCTCAATACAGAGTAGACCAGATATAATTAATTATTTAAAAATTATAACATAAATATGTTATAAAATCACTACAAAAATAGCCATTTTGTTTCAACACCTCCGGTATCTTATCAAGTGATGATGATGAATGTAAAATAAATGGTTTTAAAAGTTTCAAATGAATAAACGGTCCTTCGTAAGGGGAAAACGCTTTTACAAAAGCTAAAATGACCAATCAAAGCACTAGTATAGGAGAATTCAAAAAACTTGACAACGAAGTAAGGTTATAATAGCTATTAAGAGTTTTAAAGTTGAGGTTATACTAAAATAGAATTTATTCTACCCAATAAGTATTAAATTATATGATAAAATTTAGTATTAAATTAATATTTCTTAATTTGATATTATTTTAATATTTATTGGTTGTGGTATCAGATTTTCTAGGTCAATGTATGTGGATGTGTGTACATGTATTTATCGGTGTCTATGTGTATAGAAAATGCATGCACATTTAATTGTGTATGTATGTATGTGTTCGATTTTTTTTGTTTGTTTTTTATAAAGGGACGTGGAGATATTCCCTGTCTTGTCACTTTTTGTGTGTGTGTATATATCTAAATATGTCTGGGTGCTTATGTATTATAATCTGTGTGTGTTTGTATTGTTTTACGCGAGAGGTTAGGACCCCATTCATACACTTGGGATTAAAATGTATACATTTTGTCGGGAAGACCAGCTGATATGAGCGTCTATTCTAACGTAATTTCAATGAAGAAATAAATTGAATAACATATATATTTTTTTCTTTTCTCAACAGTAATTTTATAATTTTAAACTTAATAGGGATTAAGTTTAGATTTTAAAACTGGTAATTTTTTACTTTTAATTTTAATATCAAATTTTATCATATAATTTAATACTTATTGGTTAGAATAAATTCTATTTTAGTATAACCCCAACTTTAAAGCTCTTAATAGCTATTATAACCTTAATTCGTTGTCAGGTTTTTTGAATTCTCCTATACTAGTGTTTTGATTGGTCATTCTAGCTTTTGTAAAAGTGTTCTCCCCTTACGAAGGATCGTTTATTAATTTGAATCTTTTAAAACCATTTATTTTACATTCAACATTATCACTTGATAAGACACCGGAGGCTATTTTTGTAGTTATTTTTTAACATATTTATGATATAATTTTTAAATAAATAATTATATATATATATATGTCGAAAGATTTTTTTTATTTTTCTATGAGGTCATCATTACTGCTTCTTCAGAAATGTCTAAACTATCATCTGTATACAACTTTTTTCTCGGATCAATGACTACAAATGACTTCTGGAGAATGAATATTTTGGGTGTTAAAGAAGACGATCTTTTGTCAAACTCTCCAGGCTGTTGCTTCAGAATCACAAAGACCATTACTAAATATCAAAAACCATACCACTTCAACACTTCTAACAGCCGGAACAAAAATTGGCAGCACATTTAACTAAAAGGGAAAACAATGATGTCATCAAGATGTTGATTTTCCACACTACCTTAAGCAAAAGATAAAGATGGAAACTCAAATTAATACTAGAAAGAGTAAAAACAATTATACGGATCTGACGTGACTGTTTAAGAACCTGGCTCTGGTTTTAAGGTTATTACTTTGGTTTCTTAACTTCTTACTGTGCAGGGAAAAAAAAGTACCCCGATCCTATTTTTAACTAAACTCATTACAATTGATCCGTACACAGAGGTATTTGAATTATTTAAGATTCTGTGTTCCGTGTTGCTAACTGTTCCTTATTTCAGAATTTTGACAGCATTAGGCGTTTCTTCGAAAAAAAAGCTAATGGAATCAGATATCTTGACTGATCTGGAATATACTTAAAAGATGTGCAAGACTGACCGTTCAGGAGAAAGTTTGAAATGTTTTTTTTTGTTTTTTTTTTGTTTCTGCGGGATCAAATTGAGATTCTAACAGCATGAATTCGGTGAGACAGAAAAAAAGAACAATATCTTTTAGGCTTCCGTACTTTCAAATTATGGACGCTCGCATTTGTTGGGGGTGGGGGCTTTGATTAACGAAAAAACCCTTTGATATTTCTTAAGATTATTTTAATTTCGCATTTGGATAAATGAATCTGTAAATGGCGATAGGAGAAATGTGTCGAGCCAGTCTTTCAAATGGCGAGAGCTCGCCTTGAAAATCGGCATTTGAAATACTGGCTTTTATTTTGAATACTGCCAATATAAAGCCAAGCTATATTACTTGTATATTTATCTCGTCAGAATCTATATCGTACATTTATAAGTCTACAATTCGTCCGTGCATTAAATATTGCTGCCATATCTGGTCTTGTCTTTCTGTTTTATATCTAGAGATTCTTGACAAAATCGAAAGAAGAATATGCAACGTTATCAGACCTAACCTGGTATCTCGGCTTCGAACACTTTCTCACTGCCGCAAGGTAGCTTCCCTTTGCTTTCTCTATAAAATTTCTTGACGGCTACTATACTGGTAAGCTTTCTTTGTTGATTGCTCGTCTTCACAAATTTAAGCGCGATACTAGATTGTCAGTTAGGTTTCCCAGTTTCACTGTTGAAATTGCTAGCTGTAAGTTCTATGCTAATAGTTTCTTCTCTCGAACTTCTTGCTTGAGGAGCTCTCTTCCAGCTTTCCCGGTAAATACGATCTTCAAAAGTTTTAAAGCATTATCACCATCTTATTTGTCTCCTTGAATCATGTTCCTTTATTGTCTTCTCGGTGTCTTTCACGTTCGGTAACCCTATGCATCCTAATAGTATTTTTTTTTATTGTTTTGCTTGGGTGTAATAATTAAATAAATATATGTGTTGGGCTTTAATAAAGTCAGCTTATAATAGTATATATCCAAATCGTATGAATGCTGTGTTTTGTCTATCTGGATATCTTGAAAATCAGCTTTAGAAATTCTGGATTTTTAGATGGGATCGAACACCTAGCGTTGCCGCTGGTGGGATATCTACAATCATCTCACTCACCGAACGAGCCAAACAGTTTATAACTGTGTTGGTACATAAGCATTGGTGTGGGCACCTCGAGGCTTTGTAATGATTAGCAAGCTTGTCTTGCTAGAACAATTACGACTGAGGGTGGCCCATACTTTTGGCCTTGTTCCACATCTAAGCTACGTTTGGAAAATCTCTTTATAAACACTGGTGTATAAATTGGACACTATTTAAATTAACTGGTCCTCTTATAAAAAAAAGTTAAATAAGAGAATAAGCTTTGGAACATTTTATGTAGATTGGAGTTCATTAGATCTTCCGCTATTCGCATTTTTAAAAATATCGATTCGAATGAGTGGGGGTCTTATTAATAATATAACTATAGTGTCAAATCCATCCCCGACTTCTTAAAAATTAACCTGTACTTTTTTTATTTATTTACAAGCGACAAGTTTGAAATTGTGCTTACATCATCAATAACTGCTTACTACCAATGTTTTTCTTTTCCTGAATTCGGTACAGTACGCAGTAATCAATGACGTAGCACAGTTTCAAGATTGAAAATTGTAAACAAAAACAAAGTACAAGTAACTCTTTATAAAGTCTGAGATCAATTTAAGGCTGTATTTGTATTAAAATCAAGACCTCGCTTTTAAAATCATAAAAAATCAATATTTTTTTTTTATTTGGACAAATGTCATGGATAGCGGTAAGTCTAGCGAATGCTACTCTGCAAAAATTGTTTAAAGGTATTCTTCCTTGTTTTGTTTTTTGTGGTTGCTGTTTTTTTTTTTTGTTTGTTTTTTTTGGGTTTTTTGTTTTTTTTGGTGGGGGTGTTTAAAGCGGACCATTTGTTTTAAGTTTGTACCCTATACGTAAATTGATATACACAGCCATATATGCATTTGTGTATTGGCTAGAAAGACGTTTTAACGATCTTTCAGTTGAAGTGCGAATATAGCTGCATTGCTAAAAGCTAAAGAAGAGTGCAAAAACAAACAACTACTTTTCCAGACCCCATCGGTATCCTTACATTTAAGTAGCATTCTTCAAATTCTTCTTGTCACTACCATCCTTGACTATGGGTGGGGACCTCTTTTTTTTTAATCTTTTATTGTATTTGTGTATTTTATCTCTTTCACGCTTTTTCCACCTAAATATAAACAAGTTTACTTCTTTGAAGAGAACAGAGAGGGAAAAAAAGCACAAAATAATGATTGAATGGATTACTAGATTCTTTTTTTTTTATTTAGAAAATGAGCTGAGAAAAAAAAAACAGATCAAGGCTGAACAAATACAACGAAAATGATAGACGATAAGTGAAGAAATTAAGTTGATGAGTTATACATTAAAAATTTAATAAAGTGGTTTGGCCAATCTATGAATTTTTGCTTTAATTGATTTTCTAAAAAGAAATAATATGGAAAAGAAAAAGTATAAAATAAGGTATACAAAAAAGCATGAAAAAGAAAGAAAGAAAAGGAAGATAGCAATCAATGAATGAAAAAAAGGAAGAAACCAAAATGTATATTAGTAAAAAAGAAATGAAAGAAAATAAGAGAGAAAAGAATGTGTAAGTTTTAAAGTATTAAAAAAAGAAAGAAAAGAAAATTAAAGAAAAGAGAGGAAGAAATAAAGAAACGAAGAAAGAAATAAAACAATAAAAGAACAAAAAACGAAAAATAAACAAGAAATTATTAAAAGCCAAAAACATTGGAAGTACGAAAGAAAGAAATACAGATGTATTAAAAAAGAAAATAAGCAATGACTGAAAAGAAACGAACAAGCAAACAGGTAGCCATTGTTGTATTAAAAAGAAAGAAATGAAAGAAAAGTATGGAGAAAAAGGTGTCAACTTTAAAGTATTAAAAAGAAAAATAGAGAAACACAAACAAAAAAGAAAGAAATTCGGAAATATTAGAAAGAAAGAAGTAAAGCAATAAATGAAAAAAAAAAGAAATATAAAAGAAAAGAAAGAAAAAGAAAACTAAGGTATTAGGAAAAAAGAAAAGAAAAAGAAAAATTCAACAAGAATGTATGAAAAGGAAAGAAAAATTGAAAAGAATAAATGATAAAAGAAAGAAAAAAGAAAAAGAAGTAGAATTTATTAAAAAGGTATGCACGAAATTATTAAATGTATTTTTACAATTTAAATTAAATGAGAAAATACGTGGCAAAGAAGAGAAAAGTAAGCAGAAAAGTATTAGAAATAAACGAATGAAAGTGAAGGAAAGAAAGATTAATTACACACAAATCTATTAAAAAGGAAAAATGGAGGAAATTAAAGAAAAAATAATCACGGATCGATTTGAAAAGAAAAAACGTAAAATCCTAGAAAAGAAAAGACAAAGTATAATATAAAGAAAGAAAAAAGAAAGAAAGAAAAATTGTGCATGAAAGAAAGAAAGAAAGAAAGAAAGAAAGAAAGAAAGAAAGAAAGAAAGAAAAAAAAAAAGAAAGAAAGAAAGAAAGAAAGAAAAAAGAAATAAAGAAAGAAAAATTATGCATGAAAGAAAGAAAGAAAAAGTATACAAGAAAGGAATAACGAAAAATTATACAAGAAAGAAAATAAGAAAGAAAGAAAGAAAGAAAGATGTGCACATGTATATCAGGAAAGAAAGAAAGAAAGAAAGAAAGAAAGAAAGAAAGAAAGAAAGAAAGAAAGAAAGAAAGAAAGAAAAAGTATGATATAAAAAGAAAACAAAAGTATACAAGAAAGAAAGAAGAAAATGCATACCAGAAAGAAAAAAAAGAAAGGAAGAAAGAAAGAAAAGAAAAGAAAGAAAAAAGAAAAAGGACACAATAAAGAAAGAAAAAGAAAGAAAAAGAAAAAAAGATGAAAGAATAAAGAAAGGAAAATATTGTAAAATTTGTTTTCTTTTTTAAATCAAGCACTAAATCAACATTTAAAATGTTTACTTTTAAAACTTTGTTCGAACACCGACCACTAAGCTTAACTTAATTTCGCACAAGAAAAGCAAAATAGATATGTGCCTTTTCAAAAGACACATCGTTAAAAGGCTTGCCATAGCTCACCAATATCTTCATTCCAATCGAATAAAAGGCTGTGTTTCTCTTAAATTGAGTCATAAATAAGTTTGTTTTTGCTTATCAAATCTATTCTTCAAAAATAATCAATGACATTCTATTCATTTATATATTCATCATTGTTTGCAATGATTGGTGGCCGCTTATCGCTTCGATATATTAGGAAAAAAATCCGCAAAATTTGAATGTGAAAGCTTTCGACAAATCTGGTATTCATTAGATAGTTTTCCACGAAAAGGTAATAATCAGGTGGTGCAAAATCACATAAATATGACGGGTGGCGGTCAAACAGACCAAACCATGTTCCAAACTATATTTTTGTGTGTTATTCTTGCCGTGTGTTATTCTTGCCGTGTGCAACGTGGCGTTGTCATGTACGGGAACAGAATTTTTCCTATTGATGAGAACATGGCGTTATTAGACCAAACTTTTATAGACACGTTGTATCTGTTGCACGTATAAATGTGCATTTAATGTTTCATTGCGTTTTGACAAATCTAAATGAATAAAACCCCGACACACACACATTACCTTCCAGTTTTGGAGGGTCGTTGTTGGAAATTTCTCCTTGCCAATCATTTTGCGTTGAAGATTTTTATATGGAAGCATCACTTCAATACCGACTGCAGTCGGGATCATAGAGGCATTTTAAACTCCAGCTATGTGAGTTTTTTTAATAATTCCGAATTGCCTTTGCACTCGAGTCGTTACCACCCGAGGCTTAAGAACGCAGTGCCCTACCCATAGTTGGATATATTGAATTCAGTGTTGTCGCTCCCCTAGAAGGGTTACTATTCAAGGCTAAAGAGCCCAGTCTACCCTACCCATAGTTCGAGATTTTCAAAGACTTGTTGACACCCAAGGCTGAAGAACACAGTCTGTCCTGCTCATAGTTGGAGATTCTGAATTCAGACTTGTCCCACCTCTAGACGCGTTACCACCCAAGGTTGAAGAGCCCAGTATGTCCTAACCATAGTTGGATATTTTGAATTCACATTTGTCCCTCCTCTAAACTGGTTACCACCGGAGGCTGAAAGACCAGTCTGCCCTACTGATAGTTGGATATTCTGAATTCAGAGTTGTCTCACTTCTAGACTGGTTACCGCCCATATCTGAAGGGCACAGTCTGCCCTACCCTTAGTTGGATATTTTGAATTTAGAGTTATCTTTCCCCTAGACTGGTACCACCCAAAGCAGAAAAGCCCAGTATGCTCCACCCTTAGTTGGATATTTTGAATTCAGTGTTATCCCGCCTCTAGACTGGTTACAACCCACGGTTGAGGAGCCCGTTATACCCTAGCCATAGTTGGATATTTTGAATTCAGAATTGTCCTTCCTCTAGTATGGTTACCACACAAGGCTTAAGAACCAAGTCTGCCATACACATAGTTGGATATTTTGAATTCAGAATTGTCCTTCCTCTAGTATGGTTACCACACAAGGCTTAAGAACCCATTCTGCCATACACATAGTTGGATATTTTGAATTCAGAATTGTCCTTCCTCTAGTATGGTTACCACACAAGGCTTAAGAACCCAGTCTGCCATACACATAGTTGGATATTTTGAATTCAGAATTGTCCCTCCCCCAAATCGGTTACCAATGCTGAAGAGCCCAATCTGCCCTACCCATATTTCGATCTTTTTGAGTTTTCCCTCCTCTAGTCTGGTTACCACCCCAACCTGAAGGGCCCAATCTACCCTTTCCATAGTTGGATATTTGAATTCATGTTGTCTCTCCCCTAGACTGTTTACCACCTAAGGCTGAAGAGTCCCGTCTTCCCTGCCCATTGTTGGAGATTTTGAATTCAGAGTTGTCCTTCATATATACTGGTTGCTACCCAATCTGTCTTACTTTTTACCCATAGCTGGGAGAGAAGAGATGTATTCATAACATTCCCAAGGGTATTCGAACCTAAGGGAACGTAACGAACTCGTGCCGTCGTACATTATTCAACCGTGTCTCCATTTATGATATGTATAAGGAATGTTTGTTTAAGAGGATACGTTCACCATCAGACTTGTTTCCCAAAATTGGAAATTGCTTTTGGCTAGACTTTATAAATTAGTTTTCCCCTTCACCTTTTCTTTACTTTGCATCGTATTCATATCAGTTGCAAACACAGTATCATCAGTTCTTCAAACTTTTTTTTTTGTTTCCCCACGTCTTTACCTTTGTTCTTATCGGGAAATAATCTCTCTCCCCCCTCTCTCTCTCTCTCCCCTCTCTCTCTCTCCCTTTCTCTCTCTCTCTCTCTCTCTCTCTGTCTCTCTCTCTCTCTAAAATTTGACAGCATTGGCCTCTTCTTCGGGAAAAGTTTTTGGGTGTTGATTTCAATGTCCACTTTTATATTTACATACGCTCTCTCTCTCTCTCTCTCTCTCTCTCTCTCTCTCTCTCTCTCTCTCTCTCTATAAGTTGACAATTGGAAAAAAATCTGAGTTCCTTGCCGACGCGTTTCGTCTTCCCACTTTTTGAAGGCAAAAATGCGTCGGCAAAATACTAAGATTTTTTTTCTATTTTCATCTTATACCAATTTGTCTTGTTCACAGAATTGATCTGGGAATTTAACTATGTTGTCGACCTGGAAAGAAAAAAAAAACACTTAGTATAAAGGAAATTTACATTAAGCAGATAGAGGCTTACAAAAAAGCGTCTCTCTTTATTTAAATTTGGATTTTGTAATGTAACTATAACACCAAAAACATTTCGATTCCATTTTTCCTTCAAAATATCGTAAGGCGAAACGCGTCGGCAAAACACTACGTTTTTTTCCTCTCGTTATCTTATACCAATTTGACTTGTCCACAGAAATGATCTTGGAATTTAACTATATATATATATATATATATATATATATATATATATATATATAGATAGATAGATAGATAGACAGACAGACAGACAGACAGAGAGAGAGAGATAATTATAGGTAAGTAGGTAGATAGATACATAGATAGAAACAGACAGAGAGAAAGAATTAATTATTTTTTATTCGAACCTGCTACCCCATTTGCAGAAGTCGGCAGTTGATCAGACGTAAAGGCAAATAGAACATTGCTTGATTATAGCCGTATCGTTCAAAAGCAGCAACAGTTCGTTTGATGCTTGGGCACAATCTTCAGGACACACACA